CTCCCCTGACTGTTGACGCCTCAGACAACGCTGCTCCCCTGACTGTTAGCGCAGCCGGGCTGACAGAGGAGCCTGGAGGGCACACGCAGGCGCCTGCGGGGGACTTAAGGAAAGCTGCGCGTGCACAGTATCCCACGAGTGGGGAAGGGCTTTCAGAGCTTTGTTTCGGGCACCCACCCGGAACTCGGCTGCTGGGTTTACACACCTAAGTGTTTAGTGCACAATCAGTCAGGTCAGTCCCTTCCAAGGAGACCAGCTTTGCCCTCAGGGTGCCGGCCAGCGCCCTGGTGCAAGCATCTGCGGAAGGCGCAGGCAGTGCACTCACCCGCCTCTGTTCCCGCACGTACTCCACCAGCTCGTCTCGCGTCCTCTTCACGGCTTCCTCCATGGCCTTCTCACTTCGCCTCTGCTCCTCCATTATGGCTGCCTTGACAGCTTCCTGTTTGGGGTTGGAAAGTGCAGTCAGTGTGCACGCACTGGAACACACGCATGCTGCTCACACACGTGGAGAGCGCGCAGGGCAGGCCTGACACAGGACACCCACTCCTCACAGCCTGTCACCCCAGTTCCCATCACCCCGGTTCTCGTCACACTGCCCCCTGTCCTCTGCAGCCCCAAGACTGCACGCCCAGGGGACCCCTTCCGGGGCAGGGCAGCTCCCACGGCTTCGCTCACACTGAGCTCTGTCACACACAGGCATCAAGCATGCTCTGGGTAGTGAGTGTTATGGCGACTGAGGCTCTGCCAGGTTGAGGTGCATGGCGAAGCTCCAGAGAAAACCCCATCCTGTCAGCCCTAGGGAGGACACGGGGCCTCCCGCCTCACTCTCCCGGGGTCAGAGACCCGGGGGATTTCAGAACAGTGCAACAAAACAGGGTGAGTAGGGAATAGTCTAAGACAGACTTTTCAGGAAACATCAGTATTTCCTGCAAAAATAGTGCTTTACCCTTTTTAAATTAAATTAAAAATAAAATCGAACAGTGCGTGACTTAAATGAATCCTGCAACACACAATTATTAACTTCCATCTAGCCAAGGGCGCCTGGGGTTGTTTACTGTGGGAGCACCTCCATCATAGACTGTAGGAAAGTATGAGCATACAGAAACCTACATATAAATGTGTAAACATAGGCATGTAAACCTGTAAACATGCAAATGTGTGAACGTGTAAATGTTCACCAGGAGAACGAGGGCAGAGCAAGAAGGAAACGGGACATAAAGACAGGTTACATTGTCCAGATATTTCTATCTCTGGAAGTTCAACTGAAACAAACTATTTTCTTAGGCTCTTACTTTCCTTTATAGCTTGATTTGTAACCCTTTGGACAGTTGCTTCATGACTTACTTTTACCCATTCTTAGTCAGTAAACCCCATTTATCATATGGTTAAGTTTTTGGAGTAAATGCATGATTTGTTTTTTATTTCTCTACATATTAAATGCAGTTTAGTATTATTTTAAAGGTTACACAGTTGCAGAAGGGCCAGGGCCTGAGAGGCGGACTGGATTTCAGATGCCGAGGAGCTCTCCTCTGAGGGTACCAGCCTTCTGCTCAGGGGTCCATTTGTCAAAGTATCCTCTAAGGAGCCAGCAGTGTGTGCTGACCAGTTCCAGGCAGGCAAGCTCCTGTCCTTGTCCTGACAAACTGTGAGCTACACGCACGCAGGGCACGGACAGAGAGAAAGAGTGCGGCAACAGATCTTGGAGACACTCGAAGGTGTGACCTTGGCGTTAGTGCGGGATGAAGACGGAGGCCACAGAGGCTGGTTCATTGGACGCCTGGTACAGCTAAGTCTGTCTGACAGTTCTGAGAGAGTGGTGGGCGGGAAAGCCCAGAGCACCTCAAAGAGCCTGAGGTACTGACACACTGCAGTACCTCCGTGCTGTCCCTGTCACAATGACTTCCATTCTTGCCATCTGAGCTGGCAAATGTGCTGTCAGCTCTCCACAGCCATCCCAGCCCCCCAAAGTCAGCAGCCCCTGATCTTCCCACCACACACTTCAAATTCACTCTTAATATTCCGTTTCCTGCGGCCAAGGGCTGGCCTGTGTGTGCAGCCAGTAGTGTGGGCCACGGGTGTGCACCTGCGCCCTGCGTCTGTGGCGCCAAGTAAGCAATGCAGGCAACGCCTCGCCTGAGGCCAGGAGAGCATCTAGATGAAGCCCGAAGCATGGAGACACTAACGGCACAGTGTGTGGGAAGCCTGATCTGGGGTGAGGAGCACTAACAGAAGCCACGGGTGTAAGGCTTGGGTCTCTCAGGGTTCCTGCAGGGGAGTTTGGTCCCTCTGTGGCCTTAAGGGGCAGGGCCTGATGAGGGCGGCTCCATCCCTGGAGCGGGGGTGGGGGGGGGGGATTCCAGAAGGGAAGTCTTGTTCCACTGGGCTTTGTCCGCTCCTGCAAACATGAGTTCAAGGCAAGCCTGGCCCTGAACTCCGCACTTCCTGTCTCTCCAGGTGCTCTCTGCTTTTCCACAAGAACTGCTGCTCTGCCACGGCCGACAGCAACAGGCCCGGAAGCCTCACTGCAGCCCTGACAATGCTGCCTTTCCTGGACTCAGCCTCCAAATTAGCTAATTTTCTTTTCTTTTCCTAATTCCTGGGACCAATGACATCACACACACACACACACACACACACACACACACAGGGGTAGAGAGAGGTGATGGAGACTGCAAACACACAAAGCTGTATCAAGGAGAGTTCTGGTGTTCTATGTACAGTAGGTGACTTCAGCAAAAGTACTTTATTAGATCTTTCCAAACAAAAGTGACAGATGCAAACACACGCTGTGTACTAAACCCTGGCGTCTCAGGCAGGAGGAACCTAGTTCTGGGCCAGCCTGGGCTACAAAGCAAACTCAAGGCCAGCCTGAACAACTGTGGGGCCTGGTCTAAGGTAAGCAGTGAAGAGAGCTGTGGGCGTGGCCCAGCCGTGCAGCCTGCCATCCCAGCTCATGGCCCCTATCACTAACCTGTAAGGAAACCCAGCCCAGTGTAAATGGCTCACTGGCCGCACCAGCCAGCAGTGCGCAAACGTGAAAGAGTGACGGGTGCTCTGTCCTTTTCTGTGCACCAAGAGACAAACTTGAAGCTCAGAAGAGTTTTCTAGACACTGACAGAGTAAAAACAAATTTGTATTTCAGAGCCACATGCTGTGGACAGCCCTGCAGGCCACCTTGACTGTGAAGAGATCACTCTGAAGAGTGGTGAGTGTCCAAGGAAGACATCTAGAATCGCTGTCCAGGAGACCAACACTGCCCACCAACGCAGCCAAGTGCTGACATGTGGCAGGGGGTGAATGCTAGGAACGAGATGACGGGGGCAAAGAACCCAGAATCATGAGCAAGCAAAATGCTGCCCTCAGAGTCAATACTAGTTAAAAAAAAATCCTCTTCTTGCAATACTGACTTTCCCCAGTAAGTTATAAACATTCTCCATCACCTCAGAACCTCCACATTATTCTGTGGAACTATTCTGTTGGCCCAGAACCCTGCTCTCAGGCTTGCTGCAGAGAAGTATTTGCCAGCACCTTGAGTCAGCTGTGCTCTCCGTGCTGGGGACCGGGCAGGCTTAGCTACGCAGGCCCACTGAATGGCTGGGCTCTCCGTGGCCAGCTGCTGAAGTTAAGGTGGCTGCCCACAACTCCAGCGGCCTGAAAAGCAGCGTCTCAAATGCAGGGTGCTCCATTTTCCTGGTCACCCACCCTCCAGAAAGGAAGAGACTGAAAGCTTTTTTGTTGTTGCAGAAGAGCCGGATGGACCTTTAGAACTGAGAGAAAGCATGCAGGCCTCCCAACAGGCTCCAGGACCCTGTTGCTCCTGTGGCTCCCTGCTCCAAGTTCTCAGCCATGCCACAGGCGCTGGGCGCTGCCTGTGAGCTGGTTAGCCACAGCTGACCTCCTGGCTCTCCCTATGTTTTCACCAGAGCCTTCACCTCCACAAACTGCTTCTGGCTGGTTGGCCCTGCTCTGGTAGACTGCCTTCTCCAGGAGGTCTGCGCCTTGGCAGAAAAATGCCTTTATTTCACTTCATCCTATAGCTGGCAATTTGGATTTCTTGGTGGACATTTCTGAGCTTTAAACATTGCTGAGCATTTGACTCCGGACTGACTCCTCGTCACCGTTGCACTGGTTAGCTTTCCACTCTGGAGCCGTAACCTTCTGGCGCTGCAACCCCCTGCAGTAGAGAATCAGTAGAGAACCCCTGCTCAAGAATCACGTGCTCAACTTTCTTAAAAATGCAAATCATCCAACAGCTTAAGTTTATGCACTTTTTTACTCGGCTCAATTCCTAGCTATGCTGGACATGAGGGCTATTGGCTGGATGCATTGTCAGGAGCCAGAGGGAACACTTAGATATTTTCTTCACTTCTGAGAAGTCTCATTATGAACTTTGTCATGGGCTTTAATGATCCAGACATGAGCTTTAATGATCAAGAAAGCCACACCTTTAATTCAAGATTTAATAAAGCTAATGAGGAATCACTACACAGTCACAACTTCCCAGTATTGAGTATCCCGAGCTCCATAAAGCACCAGGACCTTTTGATGGACTCCCTGGTTCTTTTCTGTATCTGCATAGCTTTTAAAGTTATCGCAACTTTAATTTATCACAAAATATAAAATTACTTTTAATGTTATGCATTCTAAAGTATAACTATATTACTTCCCATCCTTTCCTCCCTCTGGCACCTTCCAAGCTCCCTCCCCGCAAACCTTTTCTATCCTCCTCACACTCCCAAACTGCCAGCTTCTTAAAATTACCATTAGTACACCTACTTTATACACAGGTAAACACAGATGTAAACACAGCCTGCTGAGTGTGGGTTGCTGCTCGTGGATAGGGTTCCAGGGCTCACCACTGTGGCACCACAGCTCACTCTCAGCATTTCAGGAGAGGCTGCTCACCGCGGGGACTCCTGGAATTCTGGCTCTCACAGTATTTCTGTCCCCTCCTCCATGAACGCAGGAACGGTGACACTAACCTGTCCACTGGAGGCGCGCATCGTGCCGATCTCTGCGAGGGCCCAGAGATTTCTGCGGAGGCTTATTTGATGAGGGCAGCAAGGGTGGCTCTGGGAAGGGAGGGCTCAGCCCACACTTCTGAAGTGAGCCTTGTGGGTTTGCTAATGGTGGCAGGTTGAGGGAGCAGACAGGCTACAGTTGGGTTTCCATGCCTCCCTGGAAGGCATTTACAACTTCGTCTTTTGACCCCTACGTTTCATATTTTTAATACATGTTCTCATTCTCTTGCTTTAAAAATATGGCCTCCTGAATTAGAGAGATGCCTCAGCAGTTAGAAATACTGGCTGTACTCTGAAGATACAAGTTCAATTCCCAGTTCTGACATGGAGGCCCAAGACTTTCTGTAACTCCAGTTCCTGGGATCCAGCGTTGTCTTCTGGCCTCCATGGTACCAAGAACAATGTGCACAGACAGGCA